CAGGGAAAAGCCTAAATAGGAAAAGCCCAAAGAGCAAAAGCTCCAAGACCAAAAGCCCAAGGAGCAAAAGCCCAAGGAGCAAAAGACCAATAGGGCAAAAGTTCGAACGGCAAAAGCTCAAACACCAAAAGCTCAAACGACAAAAGCTCCCAGGCGAAAACCTCACAAGCCAAAAGGTCACAGGCCAAAAGCTCACATGGAAAGGCCTAAATAGGAAAAGCCCAAAGAGCAAAAGCCCCAAGAGCAAAAGCCCAAGGAGCAAAAGCCGAAGGAGCAAAAGCCCAAAGAGCAAAAGCCCAACGAGCAAAAGCCCAACGAGCAAAAGCCTAAACGGCAAAAGCTCAAACGGCAAAAGCTCAAACGGCAAAAGCTCAAACAGCAAAATTTCAAACAGCAAAAGCTTCCAGGCGAAAACCTCACAAGCCAAAAGGTCACAGGCCAAAAGCTCACAGGGAAAAGTCTAAATAGGAAAAGCCCAAAGAGCAAAAGCCCCAAGAGCAAAAGCCCAAGAAGCAAAAGCCTAAAGAGCAAAAGCCCAAAGAGCAAAAGCCCAACGAGCAAAAGCCTAAACGGCGAAAGCCCTAACAGCAAAATCTCAAACAGCAAAAGCTCCTAGGCGAAAACCTCACAGGCCAAAAGCTCACAGGCCAAAAGCTCACAGGGAAAAGCCTAAATAGGAAAAGCCCAACGAGCAAAAGCCCAAAGAGCAAAAGCCCAACAAGCAAAGGGCAAAAGCCCAAACGGCAAAAGTTCAAATGGCAAAAGCTCAAAAGGCAAAAGCTCAAACAGCAAAAGCTCAAAGGGCAAAAGCTCACAGGTCAAAAGCTCTCAGGCCAAAAGCTCAAAGGGAAAAGCCTAAAGTTAAAAAGCCTAAAGGGAAAAACCCCAATGAGCAAAAGCTCAAAGAGCAAAAGCCCAACGAGAAAAAGACAAACGAGCAAAAGCCAAAACAGCAAAAGCTCAAACGGCAAAAGCTCCCAGGCGAAAACCTCACAGGCCAAAAGGTCACAGGTCCAAAGCTCACAGGGAAAAGCCTAAATAGGAAAAGCCCAAAGACCAAAAGCTCCAAGAGCAAAAGCCAAGGAGCAAAAGCCCAAGGAGAAAAAGCCCAACGAGCAAAAGCCCAAACGGCAAAAGCTCAAACGGCAAAAGCTGAAACGGCAAAAGCTCAAATGCGAAAAGCTCAAATGGCAAAAGCTCAAAAGGCAAAAGCTCACAGGGCAAATGCTCAAAGAAAGCTCAAAGAGCAAAAGCCCAAACGGCAAAAGCTCAAACAGCAAAAGCTCAAACAGCAAAAGTTCACAGGTCAAAAGCTCTCAGGCCAAAAGCTCAAAGGGAAAAGCCTAAAGTTAAAAAGCCTAAAGGGAAAAAGCCCAAAGAGCAAAAGTCCAAAGAGCAAAAGCCCAAAAGGAAAAAGCCCAAAAGGAAAAATCCCAAAATGAAAAAAGCCCAAAGAGCAAAAGCCCAACGAGCAAAAGGCCAATGAGCAAAAGCCCAAAGAGCAAAAGCCCAAAAGGGAAAAGCCTAAATGCATAAAGCCCAACGAGCAAAAGCCCAAACGGCAAAAGCTCAGACGGCAAAAGCTCAGACGGCAAAAGCTCCCAAGCTAAAAGCTCAAAGGCCAAAAGCTCACAGGGAAAAGCCTAAATAGGAAAAGCCCAAAGAGCAGAAGTCCAAAGAGCAAAAGCCTAAGGAGCAAAAGCCCAAGGAGAAAAATCCCAACGAGCGAAAGTCCAACGAGCAAAAGTCCAACGAGCAAAAGCCCAACGAGCAAAAGCCCAAACGGCAAAAGCTCACAGGTGAAAAGCTCACAGGCCAAAACTCAAAGGCCAAGAGCTCTCAGGCCAAAAGCGTAAATAGGGAAAACCCAAAGAGCAAAAGCCCAAAGAGCAAAATCCCAA